TGGTGGGCTGATGGCCCCCTGCCCGGCAGGCTGTGACAACGTGGTGCTCATCTGGAACGTGGGCACAGCGGAGGAACTGTACCACCTGGACGGCCTGCACCCCGACCTCATCTGGCGTCGAACGCCGCGGCAGCCCTCTTCTGCTCTCGTTGCAGGACAAGCGTCGCATCATCGACCCCCGCCGGGGCACCCTGGTGGCGGTACGTGGCCCTGGAGGGCTAGGATGGTACTGGACAGGCCCAGGGGCTCTGTCGGGGTGCTGTACTGACCACTGTGTCCCCCGGACAGGAGAGGGAGAGGGCTCACGAGGGGGCCCGTCCCATGCGGGCCATCTTCCTGGCGGATGGCAAGGTGTTCTACGGGCTTCAACGCATGGTGGCGACGGCACTGTGGGACCCGGTGAGTGGCCGTGGCCAGCCTGAGGGGACAGGCTTGATCGAGACTTAGGCCCCACCCTGGGCAAGGAGGGCAGGAGTCACCTCGGAGAGAGGCCTGTGGTTCCCAGGTTCTCAGCCTAGCACCTGAGGCTCCCGGGACCTGGAGCCCTGCCAACCTCTTCTGTCCTTGCCCCTTGCTCTCCAGCCTCCCCGACTGCCTCCAGCTTCCTCCGAGTCTCAGCCCACATTATTCTTGCCAACCGAAAGGCCATTCCCTCCTTTGCTTGCCCGTTCCCATCTGGCTGCCCTTCAGGACTCCGTGCAGAGGCCCCCTCCTCCAGGAGGCCTCCCAGCCCTTCCCCTGAAGTGCTCTGTCCCACAGCCCCGTGCTTCTGTATGGTGACCTCCACAAGTCCCTCTGAGACAGAGCTGGTGCTGCCTGGTGCCCCCAGCTGCCACGTGGTAGGGACTTTCTCAGCACTGGCTCAGTGGCCCGCAGTAGGCTAGGAAAGTGAGATCCTGGGAGCGGAGGGGATCCAGGAGGGTGGGAGAGAACCCGTCTGGTGTGGTGGGGGCAGTGCCAGCTGGCACGTGAGGCTGCTTGGGGCCAGTCCTGATGGGGGGCTGGGATGGTGAGGAGAGGCGGGGGAAAGACTCTGGCCTGACTGCCCCCCACCCCATGTGCCAGGAGAACCTCGAGGAGCCCATGGCCCTGCAGGAGCTGGACTCCAGCAACGGGGCCCTGCTGCCCTTCTACGACCCGGACACCAGCGTGGTCTACGTGTGCGGCAAGGTGGGGCTGGGCAGGCCTGACGGGGGGGCAGGGAAGAAGGCCGCCTGCCTGAGCGCTGACCCCTGCCCCCTCCCCCGCCACAGGGTGACTCCAGCATCCGGTACTTTGAGATCACAGATGAGCCCCCCTACATCCACTTCCTGAACACGTTTACCAGCAAAGAGCCCCAGAGGGGCATGGGCAGCATGCCTAAGAGGGGCTTGGAGGTCAGCAAGTGTGAGATCGCCCGGTAAGAAGGGCCTCCCAGGTGGCTGGCTCCAGCGGCAGAGGCCAGGCCATGGCGGCCGTCCAGGGTGAAAGGTCAGATCTTCGGAGGCTGCTCAGAGCAGGAACCCGCCCACAGCAGGGCCAGGGTCAGAGGTCAGAGTGTGGAGGGGCTGGGGCGAGGCCTGGGAGTGGAGAGTGCAGGGAGCCAAGGGAGCCAGTGAGGGGGAGGCTCCACCCATGGCTCCTCCCTCCCCCGCCTTTCCCAGGTTCTACAAACTGCACGAACGCAAGTGTGAGCCCATTGTCATGACCGTGCCAAGAAAGGTGAGGCCACCCGGTCCCCCGCCCACCCACTCGGGCAGGCGTGAGGTCTGTGAATGGGACACGGTTGAGTATGGATGTGGTCAGTGGGCTGGTCATACCCAGCCGGATGTTGGGCTTTGCCAGACAAGACAGGCAGGGCTGGGACAGGTTGAGCTGAGGCCCTGCTCCGGAAGAGCCACAGGAGATGGACAGGAGCCGGGCAGCCATGGAGGGCTCCCTGTAGTAGGCGACACAGGGCCGACAGCATGGCTAGGGTGGGCATAAGCCAGGCAGGGGGAACAGAGGTGAGAATGGAGAGCGGACGGGAGTCTGGCTGTAGGGGAGACTCCCGTGAGGAGGGCATCAGTCCCGTGTGGCCTAGCCTCAGATGTCCAGCCAAGAGCCTTGGATGAGCTTCGTCCTCCACTGAGTGAGCCGTTGTGCAAGCCGGGCACGTCCCAGGGAGCAGAGCTGTGAGGGAGGCTGACTTACACGGCTCCCAGGATCCCGTGAAACCACGTAGCTGGCCCCTGCTTAGGAGTGTTGGGAAGGCTTCTGAGGGGGTTGTTGGCGTGTCCCGAAGGGAAGTGAAATGACAGGTTTGTGCTTGAGAGAGGCCGCTGGAGGCCAGGCCATCGGAGGATGGGTTGGCAGGGTACAGGCCTGGAGGCCAAGGCAGCGATGAGAGGGTGGCTGCCCAGGGTCCCGATGAGAGGACCCTGGCACTGGGCCCCTGACTGATTCCGACCTCCCCCACCCCCTGCCCAGTCGGACCTCTTCCAGGACGATCTGTACCCTGACACGGCTGGGCCTGAGGCGGCCCTGGAGGCAGAGGAGTGGGTGAGCGGGCGGGATGCCAACCCCATTCTCATCTCCCTGCGGGAGGCTTACGTGCCCAGCAAACAGCGGGACCTGAAGGTCAGCCGGCGCAACGTGTTATCCGATAGCCGGCCTGCCGTGGCCCCCAGCTCGGCCCGCCTAGGAGCCTCCACATCCGCTGTCGCCACTCACACTACCGCCCCCAGCGGCGGCCTCGCCGGAGCCGGGGTACGTGCCTCACAGTCGGGGCGGTGTTGGGAAGCCCCAGGTGTCACCCTGGTCTGCTGTGTGCACCCGAGCCATTCGCCGCCTGTCTGCCGGGCTCAGGCCCCTGCCTGGTAGATCTGGGGAGGGCTGCAGCTCCACAACACCTGACCGCCTATCCCCCCCACCCCCACTGTCCCTGCAGGAGGCTGGGAAGCTGGAGGAGGTGATGCAGGAGCTCCGGGCACTGAGGGCGCTGGTCAAGGAGCAGGGGGAGCGCATTGGCCGCCTGGAAGAACAGCTTGGCCGAGTAGAGAATGGGGACGCTTAGGACCGTAGGCCCAGGGGGTGCCACTCCCCCTCACCTCCTCCTCCACTTCTTTCTCACCCAGCCTCTGTTGGCAAGTCCCACCGCCAGCTGGCTGCCTCCTGCGCCTGCCCAGGGCCTCTCGGGCAGGTTCGGGGGCAGTCCACACCCTGTCCCATCCTGTGGGCCCAGGCTAGAGCCACCACCTGGCTCTTGTCATTGTTACCGTGGAGGGTTTTTGTACCAAGGCAAGCTTATACTCTGAGGGACCATCTCCCCCTCCCCCCCCCC